ACACCACATCCTGCTGACAATGATCTTTTGGCGACCAGGGAACTTGAATTTTGCACGGCGGAGAGCCTCCTGAGCATGGTGACTGTTGCTGTACTTGCAACGAACTGACAGAAGAACCTGTCCAATTACAACTCCAGCACAAGTTCCCTGTGGTTTACCGAAAGCACCCCGCATGCCAGTTTGGAGCCAATCAGCTCCACCACATGAAAGCATCTTGTTGATACGCAGGACATGGAATGGATGAACCCTGACTCTCAAATGGAAAGCATCCTTTCCAGCAAACTTGGCCATGTATTTGTTGCAAGCAATACGTGCTGCCTCAAGAGCCTCACTGGAGACATTCTCCTTCTCCCAGGACACCAAGTGCGCACAGAATGGGAACTCATCAATTCCCTTCATCTTCATGCCAACATCGTAAACCCTGATAGGGTCAGGCACACCGCGGCAGTAACATGATTTTGGGTATGGCTTATTTTTTACCTGACGGTAACATCTTGCAGGTCCTACAAATAAGAAAGAAAAGAAGAGGGAGAACAGCTTAATGACAGAAAACACTTGTTTCTTTCTCTTTACATTTATCCAAGTTATCTTTATACTCGTCAAGTTAATTGAATCATATTAGAAGAAATAAAAAATGAATTGGGTTAAGATTTTCATACGAATTAATTTTAAATTCAAAATAAACAAGAAATCGGATTGAAAATTTTCAAAGTTGAACTAATAAATTAGATTTAATAAAAAGTTCAAATAATTCTCTAAGAATTACATTCAAAAATCCTTTTACCCAACATGAGAGAACAGGTAGAGGAGGGAACAGATTCATTGGTTCAAAACATGGGGTGGGACAAGGCAAGAACCTCTTGCAAAACCCATTTAATCCATTAGATCCTTAAACACACACAAACTTGAAACTAATTAAATAGGAGAACAGGTAGATTTTGATCTCATAGCAATAGCATTAATTAATTCTTCATTATATTACATGTCAGTACAAGATATGCTGGCATTGTAAAAGGTATATCTATTGCTCTGCCTACTATTTACACAAAAAGACGAATTCTACAAAGACTAAAGAAAACTAACAGAAAGTTACTAGTAATCCCTCCAATCCAATCTTGAAGTACTATAGCAATGGCAATCCAAAATTTGGTTCTCCATTTTATTTTTATTCTTTGTATTTCATTTTATCTAGGAGTGATGGTAGGAGCAACCCCACTAACAAGGTCACTGCTTGAGATTTCTGATGACACACAAGGGTTCTTCAATAGAGAGCATGCAGAGGGTGAGGTCATTTCCATTCCGATATCAGTGCTCATTGTATCCGTTGTTTTATTATCCGATTCTGGCATCATATGCCATATACTTTCAAGTTCCCAGACCACGTCAATCATTGATGGTCTTTCATCCGTCTCGTCATTGCAACATTTCATGGCCAGAGTTAAGAACTTGTCGACGCAGTCGGAAGGATAAGAACCCATTCGTCCATCAACGATAGAGAAGATCATACCAGTTTGATACGCGATATTAACCTGTCGAATCATAAATCCAAAAATTATGAGATTCAGAGAATTGAACTGATGACAATGTTTCGTCATCATGAAATGGATTTGGGGACTAAATGCCATGTTCGCTTGCATGACATGGTGCTCCTACATGAACTCTAAATCAATATTTTCCATCGATATAAGCGTAAGATATTATAGACTCAACTTTAAATAAGAAGAGGCGGTGAAAAAACATTACCTCTCTAACAATGTTTTTGCCGTGCGAGATTGGTTGCATCCCAGTCAGCAGCTCTAGAAATACAACACCAAGGCTATAAACATCACTCTTGTCTGTCAATTTATGAGTCAGAAAGTACTCTGGATCAAGGTAACCCTACAAAGTTAATACAACATTTAAAAGAGAAGAGATACAGAGAATTAGGCTCAGTAAAATATACATTTAAAAGGCTCAGGCTTCAACTTTGAATTTCATCATGCTACTGGAAGATATACATTTAAAAGACTTAGGCTATATTCTTTTCATTAAACATAGTGCATCGATATACTTACTGGAGTACCCTTCACGACCGTGGATATATGACCTGGCACATCCCCTTCAATGTTAGGTACTGGGGCAAGTTTCGAAAGTCCAAAATCAGCAACTTTGGCATTATACTTGGAGTCCAATAATATGTTGCTTGCCTTGACATCTCGATGGAATATTGGAGGATCAGCTTCTCTATGTAAGTAGAGGATGCCCTTAGCTGAAGCCAGGGCAATTCCCAATCTTGTCACAAAACTCAATGGTTCTTTTGCCTTCGCTGCAATACCAGATGCATGATCCATCAAACAAAACCCATAGGATAAGCATAGAGAATTTTGAAGTGAATCAATCTTGTTTTAGGATAATAAAAAAAGGAATTCTTTAACAAGAATTATGAGATGTACCAGAGAGATGATCTTTGAGAGTGCCATTTGACATGAACTCGTAAACCAACATCTGCATAAACAGAAGGAACAGATAATACAACTTTTTCCCAAATGATGCTGCAAATGAGAATTTTCCTTGAGTTGGTTCAGGATGATGAAAGCCATGCAGTTTAATGTTGGTCAAACTAAATTTAGGTGAGGTTCTAAGATATTATTTATATTATTCTTTAACATGAGCTTCAACTAAATATCTCAAATTTAAAAGACATGAATGTGCACCTGTTCGCCACCTTCATCACAAAATCCAATCAAAGATACCAGGTTCCGATGATGTACCCTTGACAGCAACTCTATTTCTGTTAAGAACTCTCTCTCACCCTGAAAAGATGCCTCTTCAGCCCGTTTTATAGCCACAGCTCTGCCATCAGCAAGAAATCCTTTATAAACTTTTCCATAACCCCCTTGACCAACTTGGCTGGAGCTATTAAAATTGTTGGTAGCCAAGGCCATTTCAGCATAAGTAAAATACTTCACACCTTCAATTTTCAGGGAGGCTTTTGATACTGTGCCCAAATACAGGAGCATGTTAAAAATGAAACTGTTCCTAGCAATAAACTTTTGTTATGAAGAATTCAAAATGCTTTTTTATATATATATATATATATATATATATTAAAGTTAGGATTTACTGGTTTGGCACAAATATGAGACAGAACACCACACAAAAAGATAAAATATTTGCATAATTCTAATCTTGGAAAGGTAAGGCTCTCACCACGACGTCTTTTTGATATTGCTAGGTAGTCCCTCGAGCGTTTTCTCACAATAAGAAGAGAAACAACTGCTGACAATGTAACTGCTCCTGCGATGGCTCCCAATACTATGCCAACCAGAGCACCCGTGCTTATTTTAGATTTTTGAGGGGTGACAAAAAGCACTGGGATATAGCAACAACAGTGAAGATGAGGATATCAAACCTTTGTAACACTTTCATCACACACATACACCGATGAAAGTACACCAGACGTAAGAATTACAGACTGCATTTTGGTTAGAATACTTCACAACTCATTTCATCAGCAAACACTAATAAAATAGCATTATTATAAGAATCATGGTAGTGAGACCAAGGATTCGAGACTCCACATTTTAAACCATAATCACTTAGAAAGTGCAGAAAAACTTTCCACAACCATTATTATTATTATTATTATTATTATTATTATTATAGTTTGTCTATGAAGTAAGAACATATTCATGTATAATTAGGATAAGCATTAATTTATTTTTGATATAACACTGATAGGTTTAGGAGACAGACCATTTCTATAAGGATCCAACAGATTGATGTAGAGAAGTTCATAAGGTCCGTATAATTCACTGTCAGGAATGTTCCACCCGGTGAACATGCTAATGATGCGTCGAACCTCACTGTCATTGAAGGTATGAGAACTGTTTTCATTAACATAGACAGGAAAAAGCTTCAACTGCATTTTTAATCGAGGTCCTTTTTCCCATATAGCTGAAGCAAGGTCTAGCTGATAAAGATGCAATTCAAGACCAGAGGTCAAATAGTCCTGGAATGCAACTCTGTAAGGGATAAAATTTGTGAAACCAGGACTTTTCAGTCGATATTCGAAGATCAAAGGGGCAGCGCAGAAACAAGATATAGGAGATGTTTGGAAATATTCGTAAGGGGGTGGGCATGATTGAGGGGGACAGGTAACATTAGATTCTATTGAGCTCTGATTGTTCACATCATCATTCTGCGATCCACAAAATTTCACTATGCTGGAATTTGAGCATGCCGGATTTCCTTGAAGCCTGAAAATCATACATCAATAAGTGATTGCCTGAAAGTTCTATATTTGTCCACGAAAGTAGGACCTAATCAAAGATCACATCTTTTACTACTATCAAATGCAAAGTGAGTATTTTTGGCAGATGAAGATTCTCATAGAAGGGTAGATAAGGATCATGCACATGTAGACATAGTGTAGCAATGCTAGTACAGAAGCAAACCATAGCGTGACATTCTGAGGGAGACTGGTGCTGCCAGAAATATTTGAAAGCCTATTGTTTTCAAAATGCCTGCAACATCGAAGAGCAAAAACTGCTGATTAGCGAAACAAGCATCAGATGCAAAAGAACTAGACCATCCTAGAGCATCCACCTTTGGTATTAATAGAGAATGCTGAAATCAGCACGTCTTCTTTCTTTTTTCTTAGAAATCAAGAATAGAAGTGTGCTTCAGAGTATTTACAACATAAAGGAAAGCATTTTCATTAGACTCTTCCGCAATAAGAAATGTTGATTTTTATTTCAGCTCTTACAAGTCAAGTCCTTCATTCCCGTTGGTCCTAGTTTGCCAGATGGTGGAGGGAACAGAGCCACTCAATGAATTGTTTGCAATTGACCTGCCACAGAATATGACCAAGTTGAACCATTTAATTTAATTTAATACATACTACATATGTTTGGGCACCATCTAAGCTTCACCAGTAAAATCAAAACGTTAAAGCTTCTATAATAACATGAGCTATAATATCAGCTTTAAGAAACTGGAAACCAATGAGAAAGAATGAAATAGCAAGTGGAAAAATGCTCACAGTAGCTGAAGTCGAGGAAGATCTGAAAAGTAGGCAGGAATCGTTCCGTTAAGAGTGTTGTTGGATAAATCGCTGCAAAATAAGCAATGAACATCAGCGTCCAAGAAAGCTTCGCTGTTGTCGTGAGTCCAGTGATTTCAAAATTTCAAATAATACTCGAGACACTTGAGCGATTTGTCTTATGCAAAGAATCTATATATTTGACTTAGGAAAACTGCTATAAAAATGTAGATCATGCAACATTTTCAATAGGGAGAAACCTTACATGGTTGTCATATTTTCAGAAAGCTTGTTTGGAGGTATGGGTCCAGCTAGCTGGTTGAAACTGAGGTCTCTGAGAAATCACATTGACAATGGTAAGTGGAAAAAAAGAAGCCAGCAGAGTTATCCAGGAAAG